AAAAATCCTTTAGTGTCTGTTTTTTTTTTACCTAGCATTGAATTTCACTAAATTACAGATTATTCTAAAGACCACTAGTAAACCATGATATTTTTGGCGTATTCTGACTCTTATATTTATGGTTAATATATGAGTTAAATGCAGCGTATAGTTAATACATTTTCTTTTTATTAAAAAAGTCGAACAAAGTCGAATAAAAGTTTCTTTTATTATCCTTTTATGTTCATTTATGTCTAAGCATATTTAGGACTCCCTAAAGAAGCTGTAGTATAATTGGTTAATAAGCAAATGGACCACTTCGTTCAACTTCAATACCTCCGCTCATAAAAGCTTGCGCACCTCTTCGATTTTTCGCAGAAGGAGGTGCCACAGCAATGACTTCAGTTTGGAAAACTTGGTGTGTCGGTAGTTTTAAAAGAGGTACATCAGTTGGTAAAGGAAAAATTTGTAATCAGTGTTCGCTTTTGTTTCGCCAAAAGGGCGTACTCCACGGGAACTAAAATTTCAGGTTATTGTATTGTTATTTTCACCATATTATGTAAAAGCAAACTGCATTGAGAAATGTTAATATCGTTCTAATCATAAAAACGTAAAATATATGACCTACTTTTCAATTTTCGCTCCTAAATACACTCCAAAAACCTTCCCAGCAACCACAACAAATGTAGTTGCCAATTGCCATCTGTAATATTGTTTTGGCAACTAGCAACGCAACTGAAGTTCCCTTGCTATCGATAATAGACCCATTACTTTTTTGACAACTTGGCAACTTTGCTCCAATGTGTTGAACCATTTATGAGGACAAATAACAAATCGGGGATCAGAAAATTCCGCTACTAGACTCAGTAGCCGACAGTTAGTAGCCAGTAGCCATATGTAATGCGAATTTTAATATAAGGTTGCCCACCGGCTATCAGTCGCCGTACACCGGGCCTAAAAGATCTTCTGTATCTCTTTAAAGGAGTCCCTAACCCAATGTGGCCAAGACACCTTCGGCTTCCGTAATGAATCCTAAAAGGGCCTTGGTAGACGAATTCCTAATAACAAAGGGCTCGGCCATCGAAAATTTAAAATAAATCAGTCTTTGTCTGACTAAAGCCGGACAGTGACAGAGAATATGCTCCGAAGTTTCATCAGCCTCAGTCAGATACCCAGAAAGAAAATTCTCCTTTAAACAGTTTAAAAATTTATTTGGATTTAAATGGACAACATGATGCTAGCTTTCTAGCAGGACAATTTATTTATTGTCTAAATCAGAGGTGGGCAGCTTCGGTAGAGCATTTTTGTAGTGTGCGTGCAATTGATGACACTGTGTGCGTGCGAACAAGTCGTGCAGTTGAATGAAGCTTTCGCTGTCTTCCTAAGCAGAGCGTGTATGTATACACGAATACGCCGTGCAGCCGCCCGGCGGGCAGACGCTGTCTGAATGGTCTAAAGGTAAAACGGCGCTTACTATATTTTTCTTGAACATGCTGAGAGGAAAGTTATCAAAGAATTGGCGCTTGCGATAGTTTTTATGTTGTATAATCTGGACATTCATGAATGTTAAGTCAATTAAATACACTGCCAATCAGCAGAATAAGCTCAACATATTTTCAACTTTTGGTGCATCTACTAGATTGTCCACAAGTTTTCTTTGTGGATGCAGTGTTAAAGCTCATTCAATTCTCAAATAATTTAAAACGATCACATTGACGCTACTATTTGGTATTTTTTGACGTTTTCTTTTAAAGAATGAGAAAAAAAAAATTTAATCCTTGACCAGAATATGTTCAGTGCCAAAATCTTCATATTAGGGAGATTTTTGGCAAGTCTCGAAATCAGTTGTTATATTTCTCGGCTCCTCGTGTGTTTTAAACCTTGCTATTGGATAAAAAAATTGTTAACTAAAAACTTTCAATCTAGAGATTAAAATCAAAGACTGCGATTTTATAAAAAAGAAGGCTGAAGTGCAGAAGTTACGGTAAGTAAAAGGTTAAAATCAAAATCTTATAAGCAATTTGGAGGGAGATAAACGGCGAAATTAAAGAAATTGGTGTTAAGATAGCAATTCGAATTCAGTTGCAATATTTTCTATACCAATGCTTACAATAGCAATTTAAGCCCCGTTGGGTGTCTGTTTTTCATCTTCCAATTATGCTTTTCAATCTTATAACCAATTGGCAAAGCAAGAGTTTCAAAAAAGACCCCCCTAGACGAGCTACGCTGCCCTTAGTGATTGCAACTGCAATTGCATAATGGCAGATTGAACTGAATTTTGCTGAGGGAAAGAAGCTGATTTTGAAGCATTCAGTTGTAGCAACCGATGGAAGTTTGGTTAAAACTACAGTTAAACTGCTTTTTACAATAAAGTTCTGTACACACTGGCCATTATTATAAGTTGCATTCGATTTTCGATCTTCGGTTATTATCGCGGATCGAATGCGAAATGCGTATTATGAGCTACGCAATTGTTACTACGTTTATGTGTAGGCTAATTCACGAATTCATTTCATGAATTTGGGATAAAATTGGCTGCATAAACGCCATTTCATGAATTCAATTATACACGAAAGTTAACCATGAATTCGGCATCATTTCATGAAATCGTCAAGTGCAAGTCCGGCAACGCCACGTTTCACAAACATCTGTTTACTAGGATTATGATGTTTTTAGATTAAAAAGCATGAGTGGCATAAACAGGATTTACAACACTGGAAATGTTACGTGGAATTGTTGAAATATATAATAAATTCAAATAGATAAAAATTAAAATATATTAAAACCAATTTAAATATAATACGATTCATTTCCTGGTACCAACAGGTTTTTCAAATTCGAAAGGAGGAAAAAAGCCACAACCCTACTGTTAGTTTCTCGCTAGTGCGTTGCCACTTTTTCAAAGCTCTTTATTTCATGAATTCGCGAACTATGTATAAACGGGACCACTTTGGAATTCATGAAATAAAGAATTCATGAATTTGGTCGCATAAACGTAGTAGTTTATGCGTAAGTTAATTCACGAATTCATTTCATGAATTTGGTTTGAAATTGGCTGCATAAACAGCTTTTCATGAATTCAATTATACACGAAAGTTAACCATGAATTCGGCATCATTTCATGAAATCGTGAAGTGCAAGTCCGGCAACGCCACGTTTCACAAACAGCTGTTTACTAGGGTTATGATGTTTTTAGATTAATAACCATGACGCATAACTAGGATTTTAAACACGAGACAAGTTATGTGGAATTGTTCAAATATAAAATAAATTCAAATAGAATAAACTGAAAATGTATTAAAACTAATTTAAATAAAATATGGTTCATTGGTAACGGCTTTTGCAAAAAATCACAACCCTACTGTTTAGTTTCTCGCCAGCGCGTTACCACTTTTTCAAAGCACTTTATTTCATGAATTCGCGAACTGTGCATAAACGGGACCATTTTTGAATTCATGAATTCTGTCATATAAACGAAGTATGTGTCGAAATTTTCGTAGAGTATCGAATTTTTTGTCAAACAGAACTTTGCTTCCGATGCCGAAGTGTTAGAAAAATTTATGACTGCGTTTGTTTTCTTACTTTTTGTTGGCTAGACACTAATTTTAAACATTTTTTATTAATTTCATGCAGGTCTAACGTCGAGCATACTAAACACAATCTCGAAGGGCTGCTTTCAATTATGAAAGAAAATCCCAACATTCAGTTGGCACCATCTTTGTGAACAAAATCGCAGAGCTGTTGATAGTTTTAAAATATGGTAAATATATTTGGCTCGAGAGCATTGCTGCAGCAGGTTTTGTGTAGCGGATAGCAGGTCTACAAACGCCTCTTTAGACAGTCGAAAGTTTTTAATAAATTTGTAAACAAATTTCCTAAATATGTCGAAATATTTCCAAAGACTACAACTCAACTCTCTTCAATGTTTTTTTTATTCCTAGCCAGTTTACTAAGCTCTCATCCTTTGACAAATCGTTGAACCAGAACTCCGTTGCACTCATTTTTACAAGTTTTATAAACTCACTTTCTTTTTAACTTGATTTTAATTTGCACAAATTTACATACATATGTATAAGCAACCTATGTATTTAGTTTGCTCGATTTGTAAACAAAGCTTCTCAACAACCTAAACGAGCGAAATTCACTATTCCGCTATTCTTCATCGAATGTGCGTCAATAAATGCGCTTTGAATTCAAATTGGCAGGGGTTGAAATTCACTCGGAAGTGAATTGCAGAACCTGCCTGATAATACCACATGAAAATTCGTTCGATCAGCACTTTCGAAGATCGAATGCAACTCATAATAGGGGCCACAGTGTCGGTTACGATAAAATTATAGGATCTCAAAAGTGTAAACAAAGCAAACGATATAATTCATTTTGCTTTATTTCAAAGTCTGAGATTTAGTAGGACGTTTTAACTCGTACTTGTAACCTATTTGCAAAAATAAAATTTTTCGATAAGTTGTCGCTTAGAGCTTAATCTCCCTAAACCAACATGGATTTGTTTCCAACCGTTCAACAGTTTCCAACTTACCTGTTTTTAGTTAGTATGTATTGCTGGTTTTACAAGAGGATTTCAGTTCGACTGTACTTGTACAGATTTTTCTAAAGCTTTTGGTAAAGTTTCTCAATCTATTTTAATTAATAAATTAGCTATCTATGGATTTCAGTCAGTTTTTCTGCAATGGGTTAAATCCTTTCTGTCTAATGCTTGGTTTTCATTAGGTCAATTTGATTGACAACATAAACTGCCTTCTCTGCCATCGCCGTCATATCTTGCTGAAAGCGTTTTCATTCAGCTCCATGAACTGACATAAAAGCGTTTGTCAATGATTGTAGACAAATCTTGGGGTCAATCGACTGACATACCGTTTCCACCATAAATGTCAAAGACGTGTTTTTAGAAGAAGATGAATTAGCTGTCAAAGCAGAAAAAGTAACTGACCAAAGTGAAAATTTCAAAGGACTGGCTACGAGCTTAAACAATTTTTTTATACAATAAATTCAATCAATGCAAAACAAAAAGAAATGAACAAAAAGCGAGCTTCGATTGCCTTTGCATCACTTTGTTTGATCGCGACTTTAAAAGCGTGGAAAAAAAATAAATGCTTGAAAAGAAATAAAAAGCAATGGTGGATTCGTCCAGGGCTCAGACACAGGGCCACCAGTGGTTTCTACTCCACACTGCGTTTTAAACTACGTCAGCAGAATCCTCAATGGTTTAACAATTTTGTGCGAATGAGCTGTGAAGACTTTGACTACCTGGTGGAGCATCTCACACCATACATTGGCAAGAGCAATACCCGATTCAGGAAAGCAATTTCAGTCGGCGAAAGACTCGCCGTAACTTTACGGTATCTGGCTACAGGAGATAGCTTTTCAAGTTTAATGACGGTTTTTCTTATTGGTAAAACTACAATATGCCACATAGTACATGAAACATGTGCTGCTATTTTTACAGCATTGAAAGATAAGTTTTTAAAGGTGAGTATTTTGAAATTTATTTCGATCACTAGTGTGAATAAGATGGAATATGCATTCATTTATTTACATAGGTCCCAAATACCCCTGGACAATGGGCAGAAGTAGCAGATCAATTTGCAAAGCGTTGGAACTTTCCAAACTGTTGTGGTGCTTTGGACGGTAAGCACATAATGATACAGGCACCTGCTAACTGTGGCTCCGAATACTTTAATTATAAAAAATTCAATAGTATTGTTTTAATGGCTTTGGTGGACGCAGAATATAAGTTTCTTTTTGTAGAAGTTGGAGCATACGGCCGCGAATCTGATGGAGGTGTTTTCGCAAGGCAAGTTTTGGACAATATATCCCCCCATCTTATATTCATGTAATATTCATATTTATATGTGTTTTTCATTTTAGATGCACGCTTTCAAGTGCTCTTGCTGACAACACTATTAATTTTCCACCCCGCAGACCACTACCGAATGAGGCAGATCCAATGCCATTTGTCATTATTGCAGACGATACCTTTCCGCTGAAATCATACATTTTGAAAANAAGCACATAATGATACAGGCACCTGCTAACTGTGGCTCCGAATACTTTAATTATAAAAAATTCAATAGTATTGTTTTAATGGCTTTGGTGGACGCAGAATATAAGTTTCTTTTTGTAGAAGTTGGAGCATACGGCCGCGAATCTGATGGAGGTGTTTTCGCAAGGCAAGTTTTGGACAATATATCCACCCATCTTATATTCATGTAATATTCATATTTATATGTGTTTTTTATTTTAGATGCACGCTTTCAACTGCTCTTGCTGACAACACTATTAATTTTCCACCCCGCAGACCACTACCGAATGAGGCAGATCCAATGCCATTTGTCATTATTGCAGACGATGCCTTTCCGCTGAAACCATACATTTTGAAACCATTCTCTTATCGTGAACAAGTAATGTCGCATAAAATATTTAACTACAGATTATCACGAGCAAGAAACGTGGTTGAAAATGTGTTTGGCATATGCGCGGCACGGTTCAGGATCCTTAGAAGGCCAATGGATGTTAAACCTGAGAACGCAAAGACCATCGTTCTAGCAATTTGTGTTATACATAACTTTTTAATATCAACAAACTCATCCTATTTAACTAGAACCGACACTGACAATGAAATAAACGGAGAGTTAGTGGCGGGTAATTGGCGATTAGAACTTGGACCAAACGGAAAGCTAATTTCACTTCGTGCAAGTACCACTCTGGATAGGCCAGCAGATGATGCAATAAATGTTCGAGCTGCTTTTATGGAGTATTTTATGACACCGTATGGAGAAGTCCCATGGCAATATAATAGAACGATTATTCACAACTCATTTTAAAAGTCAGTAACTTCGCTTAGATGAAATTTGTAGATGTTTTGTTAGTGTAATTCTTTGCAGTGTTATATTTACCCATATAACTAGTTTTTTAATTGATTTGCATTCTAATATTAACCAATTACATGGTGATTTTTTTTTACCATATTCTCGATGTTTTTCATGATAAATCGTTTAAATTAACGAAAATGTTTATCATGAAAAATATTGTGAACATTATAAAAAAAGTGGTATTTTTGTTTAATATTTGCAATGTTTTTCAAGTAAAATTTTTTTGTTATTTTTTTATTAAAATATCTATGGTTCATGCTTTCGTCAAAACCACATAAGTCAAACTTTCAAACTTTATGCAGACCTTAGAAAAATTCAACAAATTTTCATCTAAATTTTTAACTTTTTAATCTGAATTTTCAGAAAAATGCTGGGTACGCAGATAGATCGGCTAAGTAATTCTATTGAAACAAGTGCAAGTTTTAAGCGGAGTTGATTTTTAATGAATTTATATTTCCGACGGATTTTGCCGTTTTCTGCATATAACAAGTGCAATTTATGAAATATAGCGTTAATTTAAACTTGTTTTACTAGAATTACTTACACTTTACACTTTTGGAACTTACACTTGTTTTACTAGAATTACTTACCCGATCTATCTGCCAGCTCAAAATTTTTCTAAAAATTCAGATTAAAAAGTTCAAAATTTAGACGAAAATTCGTTGAATTTTTCTAAGGTCTGCATAAAGTTTGAAAGTTTGACTTATGTGGTTTTGACGAAAGCATGAACCACATTGTAATAACAAAATAACAAAAAAAAATTTACTCGAAAAACATTGCAAATTTTAAACAAAAAACTTATGTTTATTTATTTCTTTTTACGAGTTTTCATTTAAGATATACTTTGATCAACAACAGAAACAACATAAATAAGGGTTTCAAAAATTGCACAAGGCTCACAAACATGAATCAAATTTAAAAAAAATTTCATCAAAATTTCAAACTTTTTGTTCAGAATTTTTCGAAGAAAATTTTCGAGTTTGAAGAAAAATTTCGAGTTTGAAGTTTGGTTCATTTTTGTGAACTTGGTGCAATTTTTGAAACCCTTATTTATGTTGTTTCTATTGTTGATCAAACTATATCTTAAATGAAAACTCGTAAAAAGAAATAAATAAACATAAGTGGCAAATGATATCATTTAATATAAAAAAGCTGAAGTTGAATATTGTCTAAGACATACAATACAGAACGATTTCAAAACTATTTTGAAAAGAATTTAACTAACAAAAAAAAAAACCAATTTCATTTTACATACTTACACATAAATATCCTTAACATACATACGTTTAAAAAGAAAATGAATTCAATTAAAAATTTTTACTTTTAATTACACATAAGAAATTGATTTAATTCAAAAGGCACATGAAGAAAATTCATCAAGATTTCTTAAAGTTAAAACTTGGGAAAAAATAAAAAAAATTGATTAAATTAAAATGGCACACGAAGAAAATTCACT